AGACGTCGGCGTTGCGTGATTAGTGACGAATGCGGAGAGAGAACAAAACAAAATGCCGGTCATGAATTAGAAGTACAAACCGAGGATTTGCAAAGAAAAATGTCTAAGGATTTCATTATAAACCAAGAGGAGACTGGTTTTCCTTTGCTAAAATAAGGACACTTTGCTTCCTTTGCTCCTATAAACAAACTCGCGAGACTAGCATACCTCAGAGGCACGCACGCTGCGCATACGTTTAAAAAAAACAAAACACATGGATTCGCTACAGGGGGCCTTTATTCATCCCCCGGAGCCATCTGCGGCACGTTTTATTATGAATGGAAAATGTTTTCGATTTGAATCCCATTTCCTGCATTTACATACATTTAGGGACTATGGTGATACAAAATTCAGGAAATAATTAATTTGATTAATGATCAATTCTGCCAAAAAGAACAGTGGGCTACTAAACTATGTATAAGAAAAAGATGTCTTACCTTCTTTATTGTTTAATAGGGGCCGATCGCCAAGACTTGAGAGAATCATTTTATAAAGTCGAAAATGTTCACCATTAATGTTTTGAATAATGTTTAAATAATGTCTGTGACTCAATTTCCACTGTTAAACAAACTTTTATTTCAAACTAACCGCTGTACCTGAAAATATAAAATAAATCACTTGTTGCACAGGGCATAATCGCCAAGACTTGAGAGAATCATTTTATAAAGTCGAAAATGTTCACCATTAATGTTTTGAATAATGTTTAAATAATGTCTGTGACTCAATTTCCACTGTTAAACAAACTTTTATTTCAAACTAACCGCTGTACCTGAAAATATAAAATAAATCACTTGTTGCACAGGACAGAATGTTCTACATCAGTGGTTCCCAGACTTTTTAGAGTGGAGTACCCCCTGAGGCATTTCTGCGTACCTCCTCTCTTCCACTTAGACTGCACCTTTTCCATTAAAGAACAATATTTGCCCCCGACTTTTTAGAGTGGAGTACCCCCTGGGGCATTTCTGCGTACCCCCTCTTTTCCACTTAGACTGCACCTTTTCCATTTAAGGACAATATTTGTCCCCTAAATTGACTTTCCAATGCATTTTTTATCTTTATAAATAGAATATTAATGTTTAAAAAAAAAAAAAGTTCAATCGATTAATATGCAATGATGATAAAAAAGTGTAAAGTGATTCTTTTAAATACTAAAAACGCCAGTAGGTGGCAGTAAGTCACTGGCTGTGTCCGAAATCGCCCCTATACCCTTAAATAGGGCACTATTTGAGGGGGACAGCCATTTTAATTGGTGTCTGAAACCATAGGCCCTGTCCCAAATGGTGCCCTAAACCCTCGCGGTCTTCCTCTGAGTCCGCACTTTCGTGACGTAATGCCGCTTTGACTGTCGGGTAGAAGTCTGCAGTGGAGCTCGCCCCAGTGCAGGCTCGGCAACGAGTAGTGACCTAATGTAGGGAATAGTGAATGAGGGTATAGGGGGCGATTTCGGACACAGCCACTGTCTTTATGCGTGAATCATCGAGTCATTTGTTAATTCAGTAACTAAGCAAGTGGCTGTATTTATAAATGAATCATTGAATCAATGACTTTTGCGAACGATTCGTTCACCAAACACCACAAAACTCAGCATTTTGTTCGCGTACTCCCTCCCGCGATACCTGCTCATTAGAACTTTCAGTGAGCTATTTTTAGAGTTCTGGATGCGTGCCCTGCTCGGTCCTGCTCCTCCGTGGCGATGACGGCGTGCGGTTAAAAAAATCATAACAAACGAATTTGAAAGTGGGGGGGACACAAACGTGATTTTGAAAAGTGGGGGGGACATGTCCCCCGTCCCCAGTGGAAATTACGCCCCTGACTGCAACACCCGCTGACTGCAATGATAGAGCTTGGAATAGCCAGGACAATTTTTTATATAATTCCGACTGGATTCGTCTGAAAGAAGAAAGTCATATACACCTAGGATGCTTCAAGGGTAAGTAAAACACAAGCTAATTTTCATTTTTGGGTGAACTAACCCTTTAATTTCTTTGTTTTATTTTTCAGACTTTACCCAAAGTTTGGTTATGTCCCCAGAAGATGAAGACAAATGTTTTTGAGGTGGAGCCCTTTGTGTAGCCAGTAAGAAGCACATCCATCTGAGAGTCTCCATCATAATCACCTGGGACCACACTACTTATGTTGAAGTCACTAAGAGAGCCAGAGAAACACATGAACAAAGGCAATATCAACACAATTAATAAACTCTCACACTAAAAGCCTGACATATGAAATAACAGATAGAAAAAATTTTTTTTTTCTTTTTAATGGAACAGTTTATTGAAACTTTAAACAACAAAACAAAAATAACAGTTTGCATATGTGGGTTAGGCTTTACATCATATTTAATATATCAAGCTGTTACAGCCCATACAATATGATATAGTGATAATATGGAGCTCACACACTCAAGAAAAAAAGAAAAACATGTCAATTTTGTTCAGAGGCCCAAACTGACCAAGAATATTTGGTGCAGTTGTTATGTATATGGTCACTAAGTAAACATAATAAATAAACATAATAAACATAAGCTGTCAATCTATATATCCCAATCATTTGTCATAGTAAGATGATATTAAAATGCTTCGTTTTATGATCAAAGCTTAGTAGTTTTAACTGTGGGGATGAAAAAAATATAATGCAATGCAATAGAATGATATTTGAGAGATGTACAAATAAACATCCCACAAAAGCCTGTTGTATCTTACTTTATACACACATTATTGACATAATTTTTCTAAAAAGATGGATAATGAAGTAAATCTAGGTTGCTTCAGTCCAGTAAATGTTCACTTGAAATACTGATAACAATTTAAAAGTTATTTTTTGTTTACTTCCTAAAAATAAGCATTCACAGCAAAGACCCATTTGCCCATGTACCACAGCCTGAAGGGAGTCATTTTAGAATTATGTTAAAAGGCCTTTCATTTACAGCCAGAGGGCAAAAGGCATGTAGAAGATTGTGTACAACAGCTTTTCAGCAATGTTTTGATCATGTCGATAATTTAGAGGCCTTAGAAATTAATGTATCAAACGTGATACAGTAGGCTTTTTAGGGTTAGCGTGTGTCAGTGTGTATTCTTACCTAGGGAAAGCCTCTTTAGTCAGATGGACTTTAGGTTTGAAATAAGGAGCTTTAAGATCAGCCAAGAAAATCACCAACTCAGAACCTGAAAGAAGCAATATTCTCATGAAATAACACAGAATCAGGGTGTTTATCACCAATAACACATAAAAATAGAGTACAAAGGGAGGATCCCACAACCCGTGTCATTAGCAACAATATATGACAGCGCTGCGTTAACCAAAACACCCGGTGACATCTTATTAAAGCTCACACATATTGTATAATAAGCATCATCTTGCATTACATCAAGTTCAACTATGAGAGGATGATTTTGAGACATTATTAATCTTAACGTCAGCTAGCAGAACTGTACTTACGCTTCCTGATGATGAAAATGTCAGTCTGTTTATCAGAGTTAAAGTCACCGAAAGCCGCTACCATGCCATAATTCTCCGGGCCAAATAAATCACTAGTAACGTCCTGCAATGCAAACGTGACGTGTTGTCCCACAAAACTTAATAACAACGTCAAAAACCAAGCCCATGACAGCAACATTTTGCTGTTAGCTTCTGTCACCATAAACTGGAACACGGCATGTCGTTCGATGGCAGCCGGCGGAGTACATATAGGCTTTGCGACAGTGTGAGTGGTTTAACGGCAGTGTGAGTGTGATGTTGTTATTTAGCTGTCATCATGGCAAGCTTAGCGGATGTCGGCTGGAAGCTGCTGGAGTTCAAAGCCAGATCTAAGCGATCAGGTTTGGCTTTTTGTGATGCATGGCATTGAGCACGATTAAACAGTGCGCATTTGTTCTCTCGGTGCATTTTGATCCTTTGTCCGTGCTGCATAAGCGCATTAACATGAGTTTTCTTGTCTTGTGTGGCAGATAGCAGAGCCCAAAGGTCAGGCGTCAAGTGCACGCTGATCAGGGCTAAATTTAGAGACTAACTGCACACTGAGCTTCAGGCTTTGAATTTTTAAGGAGAAGTATTTTAAAAGACTTCAGTCCCCTGAATGTCTAACGTTTCGAAAGGCTTTTAAACCCTCTTAATTCAGTGCTTGTTAGTATCTGCTTCAGCCTGACATTAAAACTCAAGTAGCCCGTGAAAGAGTTCTCATAATCCACTTGTGGTTATGTAAGATAGATAAATAAAATCACACATAGTTTCTTTCTGCTATTTTTGTTGAAGGCATACCTTCATGAAGCCGTGAAAAAGAAAATTGCTCGCACTATTGTTATTCTAAACCTGTATAGAAAAATAACCAATGAATGTAAAGGGACTGTCCTTCTACCTAATATTATCTACAAATTGATATGGGTTTAGAACAACATGGGTGAGTAAACAATGGAAGATTTTTTCCCTGAACTATTTCTTTAAAATAGTCAATTTTGTTTGTACAGCTTTATAGAAATGCATGATGTTAATGATGTCAGTATCTTAATGTCTTCATGGCTTGTTGTCTATTGAGCAGATTGGAGCTGTGTGATTTTATAGTTTACATTTTGCCATTACAAACAATCAAGCAGTTTAGATTAGCAATATATTATAAATCGCTTTACATGAGTATACTGTACGTATAGGGTAAAGTTGGATATACTTATATATCCAAATTTTTATAGAGAGCTGTGAGGTAATACGATATAAACTTTCAAGCAGTTGAGATTTGCACTATTTCCCTTTAAAATAGGACTACAGATCACACATTTTCAGTCATTACCTTAGAAGTTGGCTTAGCATTGTAGTTTATATGGTGTCATGGACACGTCTACATTTTAATTGTCATCTCATCCCCTCACATCAGTCATACAAGATCATCTTTCAATTGCATCTAATGTAATTTGTTGCATGTCTGTTCAGTAACCATGCCTGAAGAAAATCTCACTGTGTGATTCCATGTAATTTGTCTTTTCTATTTTCTGCTAACCCTCTGAATTATACTGATGTTGTAGTTTAACTAATAGAGGCCTGGCGTAGAGTTCACCTAATGAAAAATGGCCAACACTGCCAATGAAGTGAATGTCCATCGCAAACTCCGGAAATTTGGTAAGTTGTGGGCTTGTGGCAGAGCCATTGGTCCATGGAAAAGAACCCTATTACTTTTGAAATAAGAACTTTCCGTTTCAGTTTACAAGTATGTGAATAGAGGCTATTAGCTGTCAAATTTTTGAAAGCCAATACATTCCCATAACAGTCTCGGTTCAGACTGTTTGATGCCTAATTGAAAATGGGTGCTTAATTTTTTTTTTTAATTGCAGAAAATAATTATTCTAGTGTTTCATCTGTAATATTTCATCAGATGTAAAGGGCTAGTCATAAATAAACCATGGTGATATGGGAAATTCTGTGATTAATGAAATCAGTAATGCAGTCAAGTACCTCTCAGCTCTTTCTGTCACTGTCTGATCAAATCTGTTAACAGAGGGTTTGTATGCTTCTCGAGGCAAGTTACTTTTATATCAATGTGGGGAAACTAAAATGAGGAGTATCTTTCATTTGCCTATTGGATGTGCACTGCTTAGCTGGAGTTATCTTAAAAAGAGATGGCTTTGTCCCTGCTACTTAAAAGTCAATGGGAATTATGCTAATTTGCTAGGAAATGTGAATTTTCAGTACCTGAGGTATTGACCCTGGGTCGATTCTATTAAAATGTAATTTGCTCCAAAGTTAAATGTGTCTGAAATAGTGCTCCAGTTGATGGGGTTCCCCTGAATTTCACTCCTCACAGAAAAAAAGCTGAATTTACTGGTGTCAGGTTCCATTATTCACAGAGTTTGTGCCAGTGCCTTCAATTTTGCAATCAAGCTGTGTGTTTGCAATGTCGTTCGATATGACATGCATTTTGAGAACAATAGCTTTAGTCTTTTGCATTTTGCTTTGATTGTTTTCCTGGCATGCTTTGCTGCCTTTGCACCCTAGTGAATCCACATTTTGCTGCTCTTAGCATTGTAAATGGAACAGAAAACCATTTAGGTTACGGAGACTAAATGAAGCACATTTTGATTTTGGTGAGTCAGCTCAACCTCTGCATACTAAATAGCCCAAAGTGGGCCTGTAGCGGGTCAGTTGTCTATAGCAGCATCATCAATAAGCCATGCTGACTTTGAAGTATGCTCATCACTTCCATCCAGGGATACTTGAATTGCATCTAAAGATGAGATAAGCATCACACTATTTAATATCTATGCCAATTCAAGTGTTCTTTAATATCTATCTTTGCTTTCTATGATCAGGCTCCATCTATGAACCCCTTAAGCTATCCATACTGCACCGGGAGGATGAGCCCCTTTGGGAGAAACTTGACCGCTTCTATAGTGCAGGTGAGAATTAATGTCCTGGATATAATTTGTTTTTCATGTCAGTTTAAGGATAGAGGTCAATCTGAGCATTTTATGGTATGGTCGGCTCAGGATAGTCGGAGAACATCTTTTGAGAACTTTATTATTGTATTTAAATGAGGCATTTAACCTCATTCTGTTGTGTCATGGTTTCATCTAGATGCACCACCTTTTTTTATTTTAATTACAAGTACAAAATTATAAAGCAATGCGTTTAAGGTGTCAAGCTGTGTACAAATTGCCAAGTTACTCATGATTTTCCCTAATATAGTTGATCTGTGTATTAAATGCACTGGTGTTTACTCATATTTAAAAATAATTTAATCATGGCAAGATGTTTCCTAATTTAATTAGAGGATTCAAAAAGTCTCCAAACCATTACATTTGATTATAATACCCAGCAAATGAGTTGAGTCCAAACACTAAAAGATTCATTTGAAGCTAGTATGGTTTCAATTAGGGCTGCACGATTAATGGCATGCGATATTTAATGCGCGCGTTAAATATCGCATGCGATTAATCGTGCAGCCCTAGTTTCAATCATTGCTGAGCTCCTCTGTGCATTTTGCTCTTAATCAATACTCATCTCTTTGCCTGCCTACCCTCTTTCTCCCTCTCCTCTCACCTAATCTTCACTTTCAGTTTCAGTCTTCGACATGACAATAAATACTGCTAAGATGAAACCGCGTAAGATGAAGAGTTTTCTTGATAGTTTTATTAATTCTTATAGTTTCGTAGATAAAGGAAAATTGGTCACTTTTTTGGGGTCATTTAGCTTATTGTAAATGTATGTGTTATTTGTAAACCACTGATTTAGAGTCATCTACAACTCGTTGGTTGCTGGTTTGTTGATGATACCATAATGATTGGTCCTTCCCGCAGGTGAGGGTGATATTGT